ACAAGGGAATGGTGTCTTCCTCTCACCTCAGTGCCTGCAGCAGGCAGGAAAGCAGGACCTGAGGTCATGAAAGTGGGACAGCTGGCCGGGCCCCTCACTAGCTGCAGCACTCAGGAGTGCAGGGCCCTGCACCTCACCCAGGCAACACAGTAGACCTGGCCCTGGTGGTGAAGGCACGGAGAGTGAGCCTGCCCAACGACAGGAGTGCAGGACAGTTGACCCCGCCCCTTGCCAGCTACAGCATCGATGAGCTAACCAGGTGAATGCTGAAGAGCTCACCCTGGTTGTGCGGACACAGGAGAGCTGGCAGGCTGACCAACTGAGCTACCACGCAGGCTCAGATCCAGAACTTAAGAGTTGGCCCACCCCAGCATCTACCCCATCTATTATTTCCTACAGCGCATGAAAGGGCCGTCCTGCAGATCCAAATCTGCAGACTCTCTGTGACACAGGGCAACATAAGGATATCTGAGAGAAGTCCCAGTGAGGATCCAATAGAGTGTAGCAGAAGCCAGAGGCCTCAAAAAACACCAATGATTCTTTATGATGCACATTTGCAGGTAAAGATGTCTGAACAAAAGGGTACACTGTGGGACACCCTGTGACACACCACAGTTTCCACAAGATAGTTTGTTGCTCACCACAGACAGACCAGTTCCCAAAGAAAGCCCAACTTGCAAAGGTGTTGTTTGAGGAAACCCAACCTCTTCAAAGCAGGTTTTTCTGTGTGCTAAGCCAGTGCAGACCAGCCTCCCCAAAGTAACCTCTTCACATGCCCATAAAGTCAACACAGAACACTCCAAGTTGAGGTGGAAAGATCTTTACTTCCTGATGCACTTAAGTTCCTGAAGCCAAAAGCAGATCTGTCAGCCCAAGTCAACCTCCTCCCAACCCATCTGGGAAGGTATCCCTGCAATGAGGCCTGTTGAGCTGAGTCCTCTGGGGACATTCATCTCAGGTCTCTCCATCTTGAGACTATAGCGATAAATAACAACGGTTCCCACAAGAATTTGAAGTCATTGATCTAAACTAGTTCAAGTGTTGACTACAGGGAAGACCATTTTCCAAGTGTATTAAGGGGTAGACATGGAGAAATAGAACTTAACTCCATCACTGAGGTGTGAGTGTGGTAAGGCTGCTAATCTGTGTGCAAGCTACATATGACAGGTGGGTCCCACCGGTGGCATGGGGACACAATTATCGCCCGCCATCACTCGGGACTCATGTTCTAAGACAGTGTGCTTCCCTGACTACATGGTAGAAGTAACACAGGTAATGCTGTGTTGCCTCTAATGCATTCTGACATAATGGAGCTGTAGTTCACTGTGCCCTCCTGAGAACCCTGAAAGAAAAAGCTTATGAACAAGAAACTACATGAAGGTAACACATGAACCCAAGCCACACATTCAGAAGGGACCTGACAAATTAGGCCTTTCTGAGGCTAGCCCACATCCGTAACCTTCTTACACTTCCTGTTTAAAGTATGGTGGTTCACACCCGAAATCTCAAGACCCTGAAGATTAGGCAGGAGGATCTCAAAAGTAAAAATGTAAAAAGGTACTTGTGATAGTTCACTGACAAAAGGCTTAAACTAGGAATACAAACACTTTTTTTTTTTTTTAATATACTCTAGGGGTATACTGAGATGGCTCAGGGGGTAAAGGCACTTGCCACCGAGCCTAACATAAGCCCTATTTCAATCCGTAGGACCCACATTCTGAAAGACAAAACCAACTCCCACAAATTGTGCTCTGTCTTCCACACATGCAAACCTACTCTTAACACACATAAATATACAATTTATAAATAAATTTATAAATAAAGCATACACAAAGACTCATCCTGAGAAAGAAATGCACCTTCATCTTTGTTACAGGAAACACGGGACCCCTGCACATGCTGTGCTTCACACATAGGAATCTGTCCTGATCCTCACAACCACCCATGTAAATGAGCTATTCCATATGATAGCCGGGGAAACTGAAGGTATCCAGACTGCTCAGCCCCGACTGGGATGACAAATATCCCCATCCCACCCCAAAAAGTCTTGGGAAACAGTGGAAGAGGAAGACTGAAAGAATGTGAGAGCTGGGGGATGGGAAGGGGTGTTGAGAGATGGCATCTTCTGACTATGTGACATTTTTGAGAATTCTGGAATTTTGGTTTCTAAAAAACAAAAAAGAAGAAAGAGAGAGAGAGAGAGAAAGCAAGCCAGATGCAGTGGCACACACCTGTGATTCCAGCACTTAGAGAGGCAGAGGCAGGTGGGTCTCAGAGTTCGAGGCCAGCTAAGGCTACACAGAAACCCCCCCCCCAAAAAAAACCCAGAAATATTATAAAACTGTGTTTTTGTTTTAATCCCAGGTGTAGGGACACAGGGCTGCTTCTGACTGTCCAGAGCAGCTGATTATGATTTGCCTTGTGCTCCGGCAGAATGGTTTTTCTAGCTGGAGATTAATTGATCCAATTGTGTGACGTTTGGATTTCCGAGAACTTTTCAGAGGGTACATAAATGCTAGGGCCCCAAAAGGCAGAAGAATGGGGGTAGGGGGAGTGCTGGTACTTTGGGGGAAGTTGGTTGTGTTTTGTGAGTAGCTGTGGTCAAAAAAGAAACAAAAGGAATAAAATTACATTCAGGGATTTTCCTAATTCTTCTCTCTTCTCTATACTTGTTTCTCTCCTATCTAGTGTTAGGGGAAGAAATCAGAGAGATGAGTGGTGGAAAAAAGAATAACACAAAGACCATCTACAAGTGGAACCCAAACATGGGGCTTGATTAAAAAAAAAAAAATGGAGTATTTTATTTCAAATACTGTAGAAGACACGGCAGAGGACGAAGAGAATGGATTCTTAAGAGGCCAGAAAAAAATTTACTGCAGCTGCTATAACTAAGATATCATTTGCTTTGCTCCTGCGGGGGAGGGGATTTTCTGTTTTCCTTTTTCTTTTTTATATATTGTTTCAATAAAGGTTGAAAGACTGGCAAAGCAGTTGGAAAAAATTGCTAGGTGGGAGTGGAGGAGCCTAGGAAACAAACAATGACTAAAATGGGAAAACAAAAGGGGTCACTCTGCTCTCTTATTTTTGAAAGGGTTGCAGAGTTGGCTGTGCAACTGGAGAAGTTGCGGGTGGAGGTGGAAGCACTTGGGAAGTGAGGCGCACGGGAGAAAACAAAAATGCTCAGTCCCTGAGCAAGAGAGGGGGAGTTTCCTGCAGGTGGAAAGATGGAAAGAGTCTGTGCTGGAGGACAGTCAGTTCAGAGCCTAGCTGAAAAATCGGGAGGACAACCTGATGAAACATCCTGTATCAAAACAAAGGGTTAATCTCAGACCTACTGTACCACCAAAGTTACGAGATCTCAATAGTCCCATAAAGTACATGCCTGCTAATGGTGTAAAAACAAAGTTATGTTGAGACAGGATAGCATCCTATAGAAATAGTAAATCTAAGGCATTTTAAAGAGGCCATGATTTTATGTAGGATGCACTCACCTTATGTAAAACATAAATAACTGACCTATTCAAAATAGAATTATTCCCAAAGATTGGGATTGTTAACAGCTATACTAGAGGCTGGTCTGCAGTTGCAATGGTTGAGGAAAGGAGCTGTGAATACTGGAACAACAAAATAGTGTGAAGGGAATGAAGTAATAAAAGACCAGTTGGTAGGTGAAGGGCGGTACTCTTAGAACAGTAGAACAGTATTGCTTCGCAGATTTAAGAGCTTGGGACAAAAATGAGGACCCCAGGGGTAAAGTCTATCTCATTTACAAAGATTATACAAGGCTCTCGAGAAGCGTTCACTGAATTTTTTTTTAAACAAAAATTAGTCACAGCTGTGAACAAAGCCATATCAGAACCTGATGCAATACAGGTGTCTGACCAAAGACATATGCTCACAATTATTGAGACCATGAACCTTGGAAAAATTGATTAGACACCAGAGAAAGTACCCGTGGCTTTTCATCTGTTATCCGTGAACTTGGAGCAGTGTTGTGTTTGAGGATGGTTACAAAGCCATGACACTTCACAAACACAGCCACACCTTACAGTGGTAGAGCACTTTTTAAAAAATATTTTATTTTTGTGTGAATATGAGCAAACTTGTGCATGTATGGGTTCATGTGCACATTTGTGTGGGTGCTGAGGGAAGTCAGAAGAGGGTGTCAGATCCCTTAGAGCTGGAGTTACAGGAGGTTGTGAGCCACCCAATGTGGGAATTTTTAACCCAACCCCAGTCCCCTGAAAGTGAAAGTGCTCTTAACTGCTGAGCCACCTCTTCAGGGTAGTCAGAGCCCTTTCAGGAAGGAAATGCTTCTTATCTTAGGGCTCTCTCCTTAACCCCCTGGCACTGCCCAGCTTTCTTTTTTTTTTCTTCAGAATTACCTATGGCCCAAAGATGGGACACAGAAATCACAAATAACCTTACTACCAGGAACCGAGAGCAGTGGAATGAGGGAGAGCAGACCTCTATAACCTCTTCAAGTTTTCCTTGAGAACAGTGCTTCCTGCATCACCAGCAAGGTGATACCATTTTGTTTTTAAAGAAGGGTTCTCACTATATAGGCCAGGCTAGCCTCAAAGAATTCCTCAACCCTGAGGAGAGTAACCTCACTTCCCAGCACCACTATCCTATCTTAACCATGGAAAGAAAAAGTTCCTTGTTTAGGACAACAAAGAACGGTTCCAGAACACAGTGGTGGTTTGTTCTCACTGGTGACAACACTGAGAACAAACCATTGGAGGGAATGAGAATGCAGCAGGAGGCAATGAGACACCTGACAGGCAGGGTCTTGCCCACAAGTGAAGGACATTATTCACACATAAAGCTGTGGCAGATGACTGGAGAGAACTCTCACAAAGAAGCTTAGCTATTAAGAAAAACAAAACAAAAAAAACTAAAGATTTTAGTTCATCGAAGTTCACAATTTCTCTTATTTTCCTCTTGTCCTGTTCAAAATGAATATATCACAGTATGCAAAGAAGAAACACAGTGACAACTCAAAAAAAGAATCTTTTAATAAAATTATTCATAAAAATCCTAATAAATTTCAAAGAGCAAGATCTTCCTTAGTACATTTATAAAAGAACATTTGGTCCTTTTACAAAAATCTCCCATTTAATTTAAATACATTTCTTATTTACAGATTAAACATGAAATATCATCTATGGTTGCCAAGCATATTGCACATTACAGAGAAACATTTGTGCATCTCAGTAAATTTTCCCAGAGTTTCCAACTCTAGACTTTTTGTTGTGTAGAAAGATTTACTTTTCCTGTATGTAATAAATAAAAATGTAGCTTGTGGTTTGCTATTTAACACTAGAACAAAATACCTCCCAAAGTATTATTTGTCTGCCTCTCAGAAAGAGGAAAGCAGTGAAGAAGGGTTTCACAGGTTCTTGATATCTTTAGGAGATTCACATCCAAATTCAAAAGGGACCATAACCCTATGCCCTGCTGAGCTGGGCCACACAGCCCACAAAGCCCACAGCATCACCTTCTCCAATTCATGAGGGATCCCTGCCCTGCAGGGAAGAGGCACTGCAGTAGGTACTGGATAGCCAGGGACGGAAAAGCAAAGGTCAGCACCTTCTTCTCAAGTCCATGCTTGGCTACTCTGTGGCTAAGGTGATCAAGTCCTACCCTCTGCCCAGCACTATATCTGTATATGTCCGAAGAATGAGATCCCAGAGCCCCAAAGGAAGGGATGCCTGATGTAGCATCTACAAGATCCAAAGCAAGTAACTACAGCTGGTACTCATTCACTCAGCTGAGTGGAGAGGTGGGTAACAGGGATATTTTTCTTTCATGGTGGTAAAAGGAAATGGAAGACAGGATGGCAACAGCTGCATTTAATTAAACCAGTAAAATATGGGCTCTCAGACACTCATCGGCACAGGTTCTACCCACACGTTTTCCCTTCAACACGTAAAAAACTATTTCAATGTCATGTGCTGAGTCCACAATCCATGACAAGGAAAGCCCTGACATCAGAACTAGAAATCCAGTTACAAAAAGCAAGCTCTAGCAAAGAGCAGGAAGAAACTAAAGGGAGGCTTTGGGAGAACAGGCCTGTTTTCCACAGTGACCAAAGCAAGCAGAGAGCCACCAAGCAGTCCTTTGCCATCCCCTCTTCTAGGAGAATGGAGTTCCTCTGTCACAGTACTTAGAGCAGCTAAGGCAAGTCTGTTGGTTGTAGGAGAACTGGGCTTCAGCCACACCTGACCATAAGGCAGCTTGCTACACACTTTGCAACTCTGAACATCCTGGGAACACAAGCATGGCTGCAAATACCTGTTCACATTCCAGTCGTCCTTGGAGCAAAGCAGTGAGTTAGAAGCTTTCTACCCATATTTCAGCAGACTGGAAGGAACAGCAAACCTACTGCAAGATATACATTGTAGTTGCTGACATTTTCATTTTTTCAGAAAAAGCAAGCAAGTCAGCTTTGAACTTCGCTCCAATAATGTTCTTTGTGTGACTGGCACTGGGCAGGGTTCTTCATCAGGCCCCACAAATCACTCACGTTGGCCTGAGAAGTCTAGAAATTATCTTACTCACCCTCAGCCTTGTCAAAAGGTGAATAATCCAGTACCCAAAAGTCAAGAGTGTTTGAGTTACTAAAATACACTGCATGTCTGCCTGTACCCCTGAGACTCACTGTAGCACTCAAGGCTTCCAGACACAGATCGCTATTCCAAGAGCACAGAAAGAAGAAATAGCCCAAGCTTGTTCAAGAGTGACAGATAAAGAGCCCAGCTGAGAGAGGACTGTTGGGTGCCGACATAAACTACTGTTGCCACAGAAACCAGACAGAGATGGGGAAGACGGTAAAGAGAAGCATCAAGAACGCACTTGCTTCCCTGACAAGTCTTCTCTCTCCCTAGTGGGTCATTCACAGTCACACATGAATTTTCCTGTCGCAGGGGTGAAAAGGGAGGCGCACACACCTGCGTGTGCACGCTTAACAGTTTTACTGAGTGAACAAAGACATGTAAAACAGACAATCTTCGCGGAGAGCGCTTTGAATTCAGTAGGTGAGACTGTGGATACACAGAGCCATGCCCGTGAAATCAAAAAGAAAAACAGAAACACTCAATATTCTTAACAAATAAATAAAACCAATTGCATAGTAAGTGTTTAGAAGGTGACACAGACTACTGAAGCCCCCTTTCTAAAAATGCCAAGAAACTGAATAATAGATCTATTTTCAAAACAGTACCACAATTTTGAAGAAAGAATATAATTTCTCCCTTTTGACTGAAAATCCAATGATTCAGGTGAGGCTTTTTTCCTGGCTCCAGGAGACTGGAATGAAGTACTTTTCAGTGTGTGTTAACAGTGCAGAGGGAAGACATAAGATAGGTGAGGTTGGACCAGCTTTCTCATAGACTCCCCCCCTGCCCCCCCCCTTTGCCTAGGATGCTTTTCAACCTGTCACAATGCAAGGGAACCAAGCTGGGAGCCAGGCCCAAGTCTGCTTTTTAGGGACAGTCTGTGCAAATTCAGAGAGCTTTCTATTTCACCTAAGGAAACAACAAAAAGCATCTTCACATAATTTCCTCCTTTACACCTGGCTAAAATCACAGGTTAAAAGGCAAAGATTGGCAAACTGATTTCCAGAACTCTTCCTCACTCCTACCCTGCTCCTTATTGGTCCACCATATGGCAATATAAAACAAGCTGTCCATAGCAGTGGCTGTGACAGCCGATGGCCCAAACATAAACCCATAAGGCACTAATCTAAAGCCCATATCACACAGAAATGGCTCAAGGATGTCAGAAAGTCATCTGATCATTTCTTTGTCCCTGATTAGCTAATTGGCACTACACATAAGCCAACAAAAACAGAAGTCTAACCCGAAGATGTCAGCATTGAGCATTCTTGGTTATGAAACGTGAAGGATGGAAGCTCACACAATCCTAGGGTTTTCCTCTCCCTAGAAGGCACCTGGTTCTGGAACCATGGGAGTTCTTCAGGTACGTTCATGTTCAAAATAAATGCTAAATACAGTACAAAAGATCTATGAGTTAATCTCTTAGACTTTGACTTAACTTCAGAGGCTGCCAGTCAGATCTCTGGCTAGACCATTACACTAAGACAAGTAACACTGAATAAATTACTGTAAAATGTAAATAAAACAGGTGAATTTCCCCAATGTGATCCAAAGTTGTGGCTGGCTGTCTTGATGACAGCCCTGTGATCTCATAGGAGAGAAAGGGTGACACTGTCACTGCAGTAAGTAGTATGCCATGTGAGCCTCAGGACCTTTGCTCAGGAATTGCATTCCCGATCCTCTAGCAAAGAGGTAGTTCAGCACAGCGAGTGGAGGCAAAGCGCAGAGACTGGGGTTCTATGTGTGAAGTTGGGAAGAACATTCCAAGGAGGCTACATCCATTGTGCTTAAGAATATCAGCAAATCGCAAGAAGCTCCCCAGGTAGCTTCCCATTTCTAATATCCTTTGGGGAAAAAAAAAAGGGGGGGGGGGTATTTTATTAAAAAGAAAAAAAAAAAAAAAACACTAAGTGCAAGAATCAACCAGAGGTGTGTAAGAGCTGAACAGAAACTTCTACAGCATCACAGATGGACAGACTCCACCCCTTCCACCTCAGAGGAGATTTTGGTATGCTTGGGTTTGGTTTAAGGTCTGGCCACACTGAGGTGAGCAGGTCAAATCAAGCCAACCATCTGGTCGATCTGGCGCATGTAGATGCTCTTTAGGGGTAGAGAGTACCTTCTCTCATCAGGAACACGATTGCACTGTGAAGACAAAAACGAGAGAAGATGTGAGATCTGAATCAGAAACCCAGGAAATGGGAAGCCATGGCCAGTAACATTTGAGACAGAAGTCTCTTTGTTATGGGGAGCTATTCTGTGTATGAGAGGGTAGTCAGCAGAACATCATCCCTGGTCTCTTCCACCTAAGGGGCCAGCAACAACTTCGAACCTCCAGTTGTACCAAAAACAACTCTAGAAACTGACAATGTCCCTGAATGAATGACCTGACTAAAATACACAGCGAGTTTGAAGCCAGTGAAGGCTACATGACATCATGTCTCAAAACACACACACAAAACAATATGATTTTTAAAATAATGACTGCTTTCCCTGTCCTGCCAGTGGGTGATGGGCAACCTTGTAGAACTCTTCCCTATGGATCCTCTCCTCGTCTTCCATTGGTCTGACCTGAAGGAGTATGTTCTGATGGGAACAGCAAAGCAGGACAGCAGTAGGAGATCAAGGAAGAAGGTGAGGCATGGGTTCAAGGCCAACCTCCATTACACAAAGTCCACACTGCATTACACAAAGCCAATGTGTGCTACATTAGTACATGAAATCTTGCATCAAAATGAAACAATTACATCACCCCACTGCAGATAAAGAGATGGGAATAGATCAGATGTTGATACTAATGGCTTTCTCCCTGAATGTCACTGGACCCAGCAGTGGCCTCTCTTCCTTTAAGGATGCTGCACCATTTTCTTCCTGCCCCAGCAGACAGGACGGATGCCTGTACTGCGGGTCCCAAATTTCTCTACATCCTAGTGGCACCTACGTAAATGGCCCCTTTATGAACGTTTGTCAAATTACACAATCTGAGTATGCCATCTATTTCGTGTAGAACTCTGAATGCTAAAGGAGTTAATAATTTCTCTTTTCCACCTGTGGTGGAAAAAGAAACTCACATTAGAACTGGAATTAATGACTCTGAGCTCTTGAGACTTAGGCCTGTGCACAAACTTTTCCTCTTGGTCCCGCTCCCCATCTGCAGAGAAGAATTCTTTCCAAGGCAATTCCCGAAGACGTTTGTCCACAGAGATGATGTGGCCCTCTGTTGTAAACATGTATCTGGTTCCAGATTTGTGTACTGGATTCTCTTCGTCAAACAGCTAGAGGCAAAATAAGAAGCAATGAAAAAACTGGGATTGGCTGGACATAGTGGCACATAAATTTAATCCAGCACTAGGGAGGTAGAGGCAGGCATATCTCTATGAGTTTGAGGCCTGTCTAGTCTACATAGTGAGATCTAGGCCACCCATGACAGAAAAAAAGGAGGGGGGAAGGAGAGAGGGAAGAAGGAAGAGAGGGGGAAGGAAGGAGGGGGGAAGTAGAGGGGAGAGAAAGGAGGGAAGGAGAGGGAAAGAGAAGGGAGGGGAAGGGAGAAAAAGGGCAGGGATATGGTTTCCATAAACCTTTACAGAGCACAGCCAGGCCCTGGGATCAATTCCCAGCACCAAATTTAGCAACAGACCTACAACTGGTAACTGGAGAACCTTTTTACTAACTTACAGCAAAGGGTTCTGAGCTGCTGGGGGAAAAAAAAAAAAACTGGATGAAAAGGCATCAGTTAAGAACCTTGATTCCTAGCCCAGGGTGGCAATGCAGGATTTATTTTTGTTTAAACTTGGTCACCTGGATGTGTCCCAACCTTCACAACCTGTCTAGAACCAGAGAATCAGAAACCCTAGGTCCAGGACCCAAGCACGAGCAGTCTATAATGACTCCCCTGAAAATTTTCACACCTGCCCCTAAAGTCTTCACAGCTAATCCTAGAACTAACTAACTAACTAACCTCTACCTCATGTGTCCCCAGACCATAAGCAGAGATGATGGAGGTGAAGAACATAGGTTTCACCATCACCATATCCAAAACTTGCCTTCACAGAGAATCAGTGCAGGCATTTGTCAAAATTAAATTCTCAAGCCCATTTTTTCAAATGCTCGGACACAATGCAAAGGAAGTCTTAACACAGGCCCTAAGGTCATTCCAACCTAGCTATCCCCAGGACCGAGGACTAGTGAACTATGGGACACAACCTATCATTACTGCTGCTGCCTCTGAATCTCCCAACCCTCTGAGCCTTCCAAGTGTTGTTTTGTATACAGCCATGAAAGTGTGGCTTCACACGTGAGCATACAGACACTACACATCTGTGACAGAATACATAGGCTGAGAGGACACTGGACATGGCTCAAGACTTAGTTCAGCCATATGGTCACCCCAAGACCTCAGGCAAGTTAGCTGACTTCTCAGTGTAAGCTGTCATTCCCATATGGAAAGAATGAAAAGTACCTATGTAATCCCAAGGCCTCTGCCAGGTCCAGAAATTCTCCTCTCCCCACATACACAAAAGCATGCCTAAATATGCATAGACCAGGAGAGACTGTAATAGAAGTTTTGGGTTCTTTAAAAACTCAGTTATGTTATATAAATATGTTTTGTTTTAATCCCAAGTGTGGGATTTTAGTTTGGGCTTTAGTCTGTCCACAGCTGATAACAGCCTCCTGTGGGGGCGTGGCCTTTGCCAGCAGGTAATGGCCTATGTCTTGCAGCATGGAGAGGGGCGTGGTCAGGACCCTGAGGGATATAAATAGGAGAGCCCAGAAAGAGAAAGTCTGACAGTTTCAAAAGACCAGACAGATGGTGTGGCAGCTTGGAGACAGATGAAGAAAAACGTTTCAATGCAGCAGCCTGGAGGAGACTGCTTGGTGCCTGTGCTATTGACAGAGATTAATATAGCCCCAAAAGAACCCATCGACCCTAAACAACTGGGAGACATAAAGGGGTCTGTGCCACTTCTCTGCACTAACCTTCTCTCTCCTATATAGGGCTGGGGGGTTGGAAGAGAGAGGCTCCAAGGAGCCCCAAATAAAAATAATTTAAAAATGAGCACAACAGGAGACAGCTCTGCTCTAGGTCTGAGCCAGCACTGTGTATCAAGAACTATAAACACCATTCCTAGATTGGGAGTGTAGCTATGGTAAAATACCTGCCTGGCTTGCACAAGGCTCTGAGCTCAATGTCCAGTATCCCACGGAAGTAAAAGAGGAGAATCCTGCTTTCCTCCTCTAAGAAGGAGGCCGAGAACCACCATAGAGCTGCTTCTCTATCACTGCACATGAGCACTTCCCACAGCTCCTAACCATGAGCTCATCAGTTCTGTTTACATGACAAATAACTTCTCCAGGAGGTTGACAACCATGAAGGAAGACAGCAATATCATTTTGTCCTGATCAGGCTTGTAACTCTGGGAATGTACAATGCCAAGCCAAAGTGGTGTCTCGTAAATATTTGTTGGAAAAAGACTACACAAATGTTTACTCTCTGCAGAGCAAAATACCTCGGGTTAAGCTTGCAACACACGTACCAGATACAAGTATTTGCAAGTCTCACTGAGAAAGAAGCTCTCCATCCGGTCCTCTTTAGACTTGTCTATGACGTGATGCAGCGTGGCGTAACCACATCTACAAAACAAAGGTCCAATTAGTCCTGCCTCAGGCTCCTCCTCCTGTGATCATTGCCTGTCAGGATATTCTATCATATGAGAATCAACCTACTCCTCCAACACCTCATAAAAAATAACTATGCTAGGTCAAAGACTGTTCCTTTCTTGTTTGTTTGCTTTTTAATATAGCATGAACTGTTTGTAAATTTACTTGGAAGAATCCTTGGATTGCTTCTTATCCAGTTAGCTCCAAGCTTGGGATGGAGGACAGTGGAGGGTATTTACCAAAAGCCAAATATGGCATCATGAAAATAACTGGTAATAAATTTAGAAGGATTGATTTAAACTCTTCATCCCAGTATTTGTGGAACTGCATTATTATTTTCATAACCTATTTTCTATCATGTATTTCTGAGTAATATACAAACAAGCAGGTTACAAAATCAAAATACACGTATGTTTTCTATATGTGTATACACATATATGTGTGTATATATATGCACATAACATAGGCATAAATGTAACAAATGCATTGAAAAGATTCCAAGCACAGGTACTTCATGTTTACCATGGTGACCTGTGTGGATCACAAGAATCCTCCACTCTTAATATCTTCTGCTGCTTAAGTGTTTTAGGGAATTACTATATAAAAATAAACTTCTCAAAAAGAACACATTTGCTGAAATCTTACACAAGAGGGGAGGCATAAAAATGCAATTTCCACTATAATGGAAAAATTCTACTATATCAAAAGGTGAACCATTTCTCTAGCAAACTAACAGTAATAATCTGTACTACACATTTGAAATACTTAGTATCTCCTGGTTGGAGAGCCAGCTCCCTTGTTATTAAACCTGACAACCTGAGTCCAATCCCCAAGACCCAAACATTGTAAGGAGAGAAGAGATTCCTGCAGGGTATCCTCTGGCTTCTACTCACACAGTGTGGCATGCATGTGGCACCCCTCCTTCTTACATTCCAACATGCACGCACACACACACACAATTAACCTAATTTTTAAAAGATCACTAAGGGACTAGAGATGGCTCGGCAGCTAAGAGCAGGTCGTGCTCTTACTAAGGACCACAGTTTGGTTTCCAGCACCCACAACGGGCAGTTCACAACCAACTGCAAATACCCACACAGACACACACTCACAGACATAGCTAAAATATTAAAAAACCAAACACACTTGTGGGATAAAGAAAGAGCACTAGCTGCTCTTCCAAAAGACCCAGGTTTAATTTCAAGCACCCACATGGCAGCCCAAAGTCACCCAGTCACTGGGAAACTGATGCCCTCTTCTGGCCTCCAAGGGCACCAGACATATAAATAGTACACAGACATACAGGCAGATAAAACATTCAAATGCACAGAATAATAAAAATTTTTGATATAAACATAGACATCTAAATGTAATTTTTAAAATTATCATTTCTCCAGAACAACTCTCAGCCAATCACAAACATCCAAACAATAACAAAGTTGAAAAACTGACTTGACTTTTGTGTATTTTTCCAGACTCTGCAGAATGTCCATTCCTACATGGAGGTAGAAGGGATTCTTGGTTGCCTAGACAGAACATAAGAGAACATGATGCAGGAAGGACTTAGAAAAGATATCATCAACACACATCATGTGACTGTAGAGGTTCCCTGAGGAGTTGTGTCCTCCAGGTACAGGAAGGAACAGGGCCAGACTCACTTCATCTGATGAAGGCGTTCAGTCCACAAATACCTGTGATGTGCTTAAGTGTACTCAGAGTTGGGAAATCTGTGCCAGAGCAGAGTACCACTTTGGCTCTACTGATGCCTACCCTGGTCAGGGAAGAAACAATGCCCACCCTATGGGTTCCATACATATCAGAGGACAAGTCCAGTTTCTATCTTGTCTCAGAACTCCCTAGAAACCTAAGATGCAGAAGCAGGGAACTAGAATTTTGTTTCATTCCAGTTGCTGCACTGAGGGACTGTGAGGGGACAATGGCCCTTTAGAGGATAGGACTCTAAAAGAGGCTTGAATACTTCCCTCTAATCACACAGAAAACCTGACCTCGGGTCCTTACTCCTCTGTCACAGGCTCTCTGGTTTTGTTTGTTGTTGTTTTTAAGGGGAGGAAATTCTGTGGAAGAGGAGATTTTTATCCCAAAACTTCTAATTCATGCCTAATGGCAACATGAAGAAACAAGTCGCATGTTGGCTGCCTCTAGGTTGAGAGCCTGGGATGGCCTCAGAGGAGAAAGTAGAAGATTCTTCTGGATGCTGAGGACACGGTAGACAAAGATAAAATGAAAATAAAAAAGAGGTATTAAAGCCGCAGGTGACAGGGCTAAGCTGATGACAAGCCACAAAACAGCAGGGAAAATGTCCTCAGAGCATATACAGCTCCACTTTATTTTAGGCTCAGAGAAACCACGCCTGAGATCACCTCTTCCCTTTTTCAAGAGTCTCTAAACCTTGTGAGGTCTCTTGAGATACCAGTACTAACATCACTTTCATCGGATTCCCCCTTCTGCACACTGACACACCCACACCATTATTTTTAACCTAGAAGCAGTGACTTCTAGTTCAGTATGATTTTTTTTAAAAATAAATCTAAAGCACAGAACAAATCCTACTATCAGAGTCTGTAAGAATGAGGGTCCCTGCATACTGCAGAAGCCTATCTCATACCTACTAAGCTCCCTAGAGCTGGCTTTGCTTATATTGATGGATTTGTGAATGAGTGTATATATGTAGAGCATGTGAAAATTTTGTGTATCAGGCTTCAACTGTCAAGGAGACATTTCATAGTTAGTAACATTTCTCTGTTACTAGAGTAATTGTACAAAAATAAATCCTACTTTAAAGAAAATACAAATACCCTTTTCTACAAAAAAAAGGAAGGAAGGAAGGAAGGAAGGAAGGAAGGAAGGAAGGAAGGAAG